AAAAAAAAAAAAAAAAGTCTCTGTAGGAAGAAACCCCACTGATCCTCTCTACCACCACCCAGTAGTTTAGCAGCTTCTGTGTCAGAAAAACTCTTGGCTGTGATCCCGATTCCACCTTCTGCAGTACATGCCAGTTTCCTCTCCTACCTCCTTCCCTGAAGATGTGAGAGCTGTCCCTAGGTGGGGCCACCCCTCTGGTCAGATAGACTGCCTTGGCTGGAGAAGACCTTGTGAGAACTTGACTAAGCGAGGCCCCTCCAGGAGCCTTTAGAGACTGAATGACCTTTTCATTTTGTTACTGTCTGGGCAGCCTACTTTGAAACAGAGACCTTCTGCCAGGCTCCTGGTTGTGTGTTTATGACTGAGGCTGGGCCATTCTGAATTCTGCTTCAGACTTGTGTCCAGCCAGCCTGGTGGGTGGTAATCAGATGCAGGCAGAGCCCATCTGGTCTGGCCTGGTCTTCCCACCCAGCCAAGTGAGGGCTGGTCTGCCCACCACAGAGCTGCCCCAGAAAGCACTGGATGGAGGCAGATGGTGAACACGTGCATGCATGTACGCATGTGCACACCCGTCCATGCACGTGAACACAGCCCTCCTTAAAGAGGTGATGCTACTCGGATGCTTGTGGCTTATGTTTCTCTCTCTGCATCTGAGGCTTCTCTCCATTGCACAATCCAAGAAGAACGTGTTTCTTTTCCTCCGTTTCTCAAGTTTTTGCGGTTAGAAATCCTGTATTTTTCTTGGCCCAAGATGAAAGCCCTAGAGTAATGGTCTAATACATTTTACAAAGCTGCCTCTAATTGGTGGCTGCTCAAAATCTTCCCTTTGCCCTAGTGACCTATCTCTTTTCACATGGATTTTACCTCAGAGTCAATCCTGTGTTACCCCCCAGGTTTTCACAGCCCCCCCAGGCCTGCGGCCCCAGAGAGGCAGCTCTTCTTCCAGCCTCAGCTCTATCCCCTCAGCTCCCCTGTGCTGCGTTCCCCAAACAGAGTACTTTGGCAGGGAAATAAAATTGCCTACATTGCCTCCTGTCAAGTACCCTCTTCTAGCTAGGTCTTCAGAATTTCAGGTGTGTACTTTCAAAATGCATTCTGCTTTCCACATGGCTGGATACCTGGAGAAAATGAAAACCATGGAAGCTGTCTTTAAACATAATTGAGTATGACCATGATGACTTCATGCCAGACTTCATCTCACTACTTTGGTCATGTTGTCAGAAGGACCATTCCCTGGAGAACGACATCACATTTGGTAAAGTGGCCAAAAAACCAAACTCACTGCTGTTGAGTCAGATCCGACTCATAGTGACCCCCTTCTTGGGTTTCTGAGGCGGTATCACTATGAAAGTAGGTTGTGCAATCTTCCTTCCGAGGAGTAGCTGGTTGGTTTGAACCGCCAACCTTCTGGTTAGCAGTCAGATGCCTTAGGCACTATGCCACCAGAGCTCCCTGGTAAAGTGGAGGGTCAGCAAAAAAGGGGAAAGCCCTCAATGAGGTGGATTGATACAGTGGCTGCAAAGATGGGCTCAGGTATAGCAAGGATTGTGACGCTGGTGTAGGACCAGACAGTGTTTCATTCTGTTGTACATAGGGTTCGCTCGCTGTAAGTCTGAGCTGACTTGATGGTACCTAACAACAACAACATGATGATTTCTAAAGGATGTCTTTGAAATCCTTTAGGGAATAAAGTATGGTCCTTTAAGGAAGTGTGTGGGCTAATTAGAGGTGATCTACCCTCTGCAGCAAGTGCAGGAGGGCTGGGCTTGCCCATTTAACAGATGGGAGGGCTAAGGCCCACAAAGCCAGGACTAGGGCTGGCCATATCTGAGACTTTGGGATGTCTTTCTACCTGGTCTCTCAGCTTGGCCTCCTGGGGTGATAATGATGAAGGAAACATGCTTCGTGGAGTCTACATCAGCATCCCTGCAGGTGACTGCCTCTTCTAGTAGCTTAGCTAACGAGGTAAGTTGTCATTTTAGTCGATGGTTTGTATTTGTATATTGAGGAGGTTATATGCATATAATCATCGTGGCTCATGCTTGTACAAAATACAGTTAACTGAAAATTGTGTCATGAACATATTTTAACCTTTTTGATGCAGGAACTCCTCCCTGGAAGCTTTTCTCATCTCAGGAGATGTGGTACCTTACCAACCAGGCCTGTGCCCTGTAACCCACTTCATTGCCCTCTCTGGCGAAAGTCCACTTCAGGGACTTGCCTAGAGCCTCAGGGCTTCTGAGTGTTTCCTAGCAAACAGCTGGCATTCCTGCCTTGTCTCATCGTCATTGTGTTGCGTTGTGGTCACAGAGGCAGTTTCTCAGGTTCCAGTGATTTAAGTGTGTACATGTACTGCCAGATTTCAGGAAGAGCAGTGCTGATGGATGAGTTTACGTGGAATGATGGGTTTCAGGAAGAATAGGGGCCCACCCATCACCTTTGGGATCTACTTTGGGACCTGTCCACAAACACTGAGGTTGGAGGCCAGCAGCTAGCTAGCCAGCCCATCCAGCCTGAAGCTTTGTACCTTTCTAGAGCAGGGTCCAGGGCTGGCTGTTGGTTGTGGAGGAGAGGGGCATGGTAAAGAAAGGGTCTCATCCTCACAGAGCATACAGCCTTTTTGGTGGGTCATAGGACACGTATATGAAATTATATTAATCCTTTGCAAACTAAGTAGATGCTTATTGACAGCTTGAGGGAATAAGTGAATAAGGAAGATTTCCAGTAATGGAACTGCAGTCATACAGAAAGGAATGTTCCAGAGCCACAGAATCTGGAACTCGCAATTCAGAGTGCCAAAGAGGGAAATTTAATTAGGCCAAAGTCATATATGTGGACCCGTAGCTGGCAAGAAGACAAAGCAAGAGACCCGGATCCTCTCAGGCTTTTGAAGTCCCTCCTCCCTATAAGGTTCACACCCTGTAGATCCTCTGACTAGGGGGTTTGATGCTGAGACCACCAAAGGAAAAAACAAAAGAAGTACTCGTAATTAGACCTCCAAAGCTTGGTATTTTTCCAAAAGTAGTTGAACTGAAAATGAAAACATTTGCTTTTCATTCCTTTCAGGTTTACAGGAACAGATGGACCTAGTGGTTTTGGCTTTGAGTTGACATTTCGTCTGAAGAGAGAAACAGGGGAGTCTGCCCCACCAACGTGGCCAGCAGAGCTAATGCAGGGCTTGGCTAGATACGTGTTCCAGTCAGGTAAGGACCTTCGGAGCTGGTTGGTGTGGTGGTCCTTTTGCTATAAGCCTGGCTGGCTTTAGAAACTTGTAGGCATGTTTCGATGCCTATGAAGTGAACTTTCCTAGGAGTACTGTACCCCAGTTATACCATGAAGATGGCTTGTCTAGGCCATGGAGGAGAATGCCATGTCACTGGCCAGCAGGTAGGTGTCCCTGCCATCCTTCCCATCTCTACACCTTATTGCAGGGTGCCAGCCGTACTTCCGATTCCCAGGGAGCTAAAGAACAACTCAGCATGGAGCTGACTAGCTCTTTCTCTGCCTGTCCATTTCCCATAATTAACATGGTTCTTGCTCTCTGCCACCAGTGGCCTATCTGCTTCCAGGATCACAAGCATATCTGTTACTCTTGGCTAAGGCTTGGTTTCAGAGTAGATGGTGAGCGGGCAGGGAGGGAGAGAAAGCAGTTTCTAGGAGCTTGCTCCCACACAGTGTGAAGGGTAAGAGGGGGAAGCTGGAATCAGTGGGGCCTTGACGGTCAGAATGATTGTTTGATTCAGATGCTTTGAATGCCTTCTAGTCTTTTTTTTTTTTTTGTGATTTGGGTGAAAATTTACAGAGTAAATTCACTTTCCATACAGCAGTTCACATACACTTTGTCCCATGACATTGACTACAATTTACCACAATGCAACAACTCCCTTCCAACTTCCTCCTGATAGTTACCTCTTCCCTGTGTCCATCCCTCCATGCACTCCTGCCCCCTGAACTGTCTCTCTGTGCATAAACAGCCCTTCTATTCTCCCATGATTGTTCTCTGTAAGGAGTGAATGTACCTCAGGTAACTGTTCAACTCATATGCCTGTCTTTTTTGTTTGGCTGGAAGCCACAGGTGTGGGTTTCATTCCAGACCTGAAGGGCAGCTAGGGGCCATAGTCTCAGTGGTTCCACCAGGCTCTATCAGACCAGCAAACCTGGTCCCCCATTTTTTTTTTCTCCAAATGATTTTGAGTTTTTTTCCACATTGTTCTCCCACTCTATCAAGGATCTCCTACATAGCTCCCCTTCCAAGTGGTTGACAGTGGTAGCCGGGCACCATCTAGTTCTTCTGGTCTCATAGTTGTGTAGGCTGTGGATCGTATGATGTACCAGCCACTTGGACTATGAATGCCCTCTATTCTTTGTTCCACTGGAGACCACTAACATGGCACCTGAAGTTGAGGTGGGGGCTTTGTGCTAGGAGCCTTGGCCTGTTCTGTGTGTGAGATGATCCTCTAGTACGATGGAATATGGGGCAAAAATTGGTACATTTTATGGAAGATTTCATATCATCTGAATATTTACTAGATAGTAGGTATGTGTTAACTTGGGTGAAGGGAAAGCCAATACCCAATAAGAGGGGAGGTCAGTACAACATGACCAAGGCAAAGGAAAACTGGGAAGTACACAAGTTTTATTCTGGCAGCAATGATAAATACTGTTACGTACCCAATCCTGCAGTAACAGTATAAAAATGCATGATAGAGGAGGTCTGACCTCCTCTAACTTCACAGGGTGGGGAGGAGGATCGAGATCAACAGCCCAAGGCTGATTCTTATGAAGCAGAGGTCAGACATGCCTCCACTCTCCAACCTTTTTACCAATTCTGACACAAACTCTCTTTCTCATGGCATTCTGAACTCTCTGCCGGGTTTGATAATGTGTTGCAATGGCCATACAGAACTCACAGATAATACTCATGATTGTGAAGTTAGGGAAGTAAAAGGTTGTAGTTCAGGATCAGAAATGACTCAGGTCATAGTTCTTCAATCAGGACAGCCTCTTCTCAGCAGTGCCTCTCTGGCCGTCAGCCTCTTGTCCCCACAGCCCCTTGGCCCTGCCTTGCTTGGGCAGGTGTTACAAAGCTCTTTTGTAAGCCCTGCCAATAAGTACTCAGAGGCACCCCACTCCGCCAGTAAGCCTTGACCTGAAGGCACTCAGCTCTAGCTCCTTGGGTTGGCACACTTAGTGTCACCAAGTGCACAAAGGCACCCCACTCCACCAGCAAGCCTCCTTCCTGAAGGCTCTTGGCGTTCTCACTCTGTGTCCAGAAGCCTGCCGCCCATCTCTGCCAGTCTCCTGGTTCTGCTGCCACTGCCACTTCTCTGCCACCGCTTCTCACCATCTCTCACTGTCTGTCCAGTGTAACTGTCTGTCTCCTAGATCTTAAATGTTTGCAGCACAGGGACCCTGAGTCCAAAGGATGTGCTCTGCTCTGGTCCCTTCTTGGGGGTAGTTGCTCCCCTTTCTGCCTCTGGAATGACTCATTTTAAGCCTAGCAGGATGGCAAAATTGACCAGTCCCCATGTTAGGGTTCCATACACTTTATATGTGTTGTCCCACCACCACAATTGTGTCATGCCACTTATTTACATTATTAGCAAAATATCTAATCCCCCGGTGGTCAACAGTCATCTCGCATTGGCATAGTCCTACCAATCATTTGGTGGGTGTTACAAAGACAATGACTAGAAAAGCCATATTAAGTATTTCACTGTACTGTAAACAGTAATAACAAACAATAAGTTATGAGTGGATACATAGGTAAATATGTAAGCTGAACAGGTATAGGATGGTGTATGGGAATATACCCACCAGCATATATAGGTTTGACAGAGGATATTTCTGTATACATATTTGTATATGCTGGAAATATATCTAGGTATATTGTAGAGCATACAGGGGGCAAAGTTATGCAAACTTCTTAGCCATAACTAAATACCTTGAGGGGCTGAGTCACTGGGCTTGAGGGCTTAGGACATCTAGGTCAGTTGCCATAACATAGTCTGTAAAGACAATGTTCTGTATCCTACTTTGGTGAGTAGGGATTGGGATCTTGAAAGCTTTCCAGCAGTCATCTAAGATACAACTATTGATCTCTTCCCATCTGGGGCACAGAAGAGTAAAGAAAACCAAAGACTTAAGGTAACAGTTAGTCCAGAGGACTAATGGACCACATGAACCACAGCCTCCACTAGCCTGAGACGAAAGGAACTAGATGATGCTCGGCTGCCACTGCCAAGCACTCTGATTGGGATCATAACAGAGAGGGAGAAAGATGTAGAACAAAATGCAGAATCATTAAAAAGACCAGGTTTACTGGTCTGATAGGGACTAGTGGAAACCCTGAAACTATGGCCCTTAGACATCCTTCCAACCTAGAACTGAACCCCCAGGCATCACCTTTCAGCCAAACAATAGATGGGCTTATAAAGTGAACGTATGAGGAACATACTTCTCAGAACAATCAACCACACAGGACTAAAAGGGCAGAATGTTCCCAAAAACAAAGTTCAGAAGGCAGGAAGGGTTGGGAAAGATTGGCAAATGGAATCTGAGGATGAAGTGGGGGAAGTCCTGTTACATTGAGGGAATTGGAATTAACGTCACGAAACAAAATGTGTATAAATTGTTGAATGGGAAACTAATTTGCTCTGTAAACTTTCACTCAAACCACGATCAAATGTTCAAAAAAGTACAAAAAATTATGCTGGTGGTCTACTGCCTGAGCCCTCTGTGTCCACCTCTCTCCCTCCTTGGGGTGCTTGAAGCTGACTCTCTGTACAGAACAGTCTGTGGGAAGGTAGACTGTGGCTGACATGGGATTTGATCTACTGTAGGAAATGGGGCTTTGCAGACAACCTCTTGCCTGTATAGACAACTCCCTGGTCCACTGCTTCAGCTAGTGCGTCTATGTGTTGGTCTGCACTTAATGTACCTGCGCAGGTGGGTAGACGCAGAGAAATGTAACACAGGTGTTATGAACTATGTCGGGTAGGAGTCAAGAGGATGAAATTCTGAAATTAGTTTTGGGTGGTTCAGAAAGTAGTTCTGAAATTATAATGGGAGTCAGTGAGGAAATAGCATCTTATTTGTAAGAGTTCCTTTCACCTAGACAGTAAACATCACTAGTAGCCATTTTGTAATTAGTAATTCAGGGCAAGATAACTAATGGATGCTAAAAGTATTAGACAAAAATTTGCTGAGGAACAAGGTATTCACAAGGACTCAAAGAATCCCTCCACAAAGAAAAAGAATAAAAACCCTTTACAATGGATAGGTTTGAGTGGATGCCACCTTAATCAAATGATCAAATGTAGCAAAATAGTGCCTAAGGCACTTGACTGCTAACCAGAAGGCTGGCAGTTCAAACCCACCAGCCACTCCTTGGAAGGAAGGTTGGGTGATCTACTTCCATAGTGATGCTGCCTCAGAAACCCAGGGAGGGGTCGCTATGAGTCAGGTCCGACTCGACAGCACATAACAACAACAACAACAACAACAACCTTCTTTTATGTTGCATGGAGCCCTGGTGGCACAATGATTAAAGTGCTCAGCATTTAACTGAAAGGCCAGCAGTTTGAGCCTCTCCATGGGAGAAAGACATGGCAAATCTTTGGTGATTTACAGCCTTGGAAACCCTGTGGGGCAGTTCTACTCTGGCCCATAGGGTCTCTGTGAATCAGAATCAACTGGATGACAGTGAGTTTGAATTTGGTTTTGTGTTGCAATGTGAAGTATAAAACATCAACCATGTAGCACGTTCCCAAAAATGTTCAGCCTGAATGAATCATGAGCAAATAGCCAAGTCCAGCTTGTGGGACATTATACAAGGCAGCTATCTTGATTCTTAAAAAATTTAAGTGGTATGACAGACATACAGAGGCAAGGGATGGAAACTATCCTAGATGAAAGGAAATATGACAGTTTAAATACACCACGTGTGATCCTTAATTGGATCTTGAATTTTAAAAATGATGTAAAAGTTATTTATAGGACAATTGGAAAAACTTGATTATAGACTCTATGTTAGATAATCGTATTGTACTAGTAAGGTCCCTGGGTGGCACAAGTCATTTTTGATCAGCTGCTTTTTGTTGTTGTTAAGTGCCGTCGAGTTGCCTCTGACTCATAGTGACCCTATGCACAGCAGAATGAAACACTGCCCGGTCCCGTGCCAGGTCTACAATCCCCGCTGTAC